GGCTGTGCCTGACGCACCCCAGAGATGCTCTGGCCTCCTGCCTGCAGTGCTGCCCTTATGCAGCACCTCCCCGGGCCCCCAGACCCGGAGCTCAGCTCTACCCACCCCTCTCCTCTGGGGCTTGACCCGTGAATGAGAGGCCAAGGGCTCAGCCAGGCTCCTGGAGAGGAAGGAACCAGAGCATTTCCACAGGTGTGGGGTGTTGCAGCACCTCCCAAGCCTCACCTCTCTTCTCGCGCACGCCCGCCCACAGGATCAAGGCACAGAGGATGTAGAGCCCCCCGATGACCCCCGCAGCGATCATGTAGGCATTTCTCTGTGCAAGAGAGAGGGGAGACAGGTGAGGAAGGGGCAAATCCCAGGAATCAGCCTGGTCCAAAGGGCAAGGAAACATGGCAGGGTCTCCCCCACCCCAGCTTACGGTGTCTGTGAGTGAGCCGGTGTCGTGGGTCATGTTTAGCTCCTCCAGGGCCACCGAGGAGTTGGTCATGCCAAAGAAAAGGGGGCTCTCAATGCAGGGCGTGTCCGCTTTGCCCACGATCTGGCCCTGGATGGCGGTGCCCAGCACAGTGCCCAGCACTTCCACAGTCATACCTGGAGGGAGAAGCCAGAGGGACTGAGCACAGCCCTTGGGCACCCAGGGTGTGGGTGCAAATCCTCGTCCACAGTAGAGCCTCCCCAGCTGCCCTTCACTGCCCTTCACTGGGAGAAATGAGCCAGCCCAGCTCTGCTACAGCTCCTTCCAAATCCCCACGTGACAAAGCCACAGGGAAGGAAAGTGCCTGCTGGGGAAACTGAGTCAGAGAGAGAGGCCAAGCCGTGGTCATGTGGCTCCCACTGCTGCACGATGGAGCAGGAGGAAAAGCTCAGGAGCTCAGACTCCCCATCATCTGCTCCAGGCAGAGCCATAACAGGGATCATCTCCCCTTCAGCCCAGCTCACATTAGACCAGACAAGGATGTCTGCCAGAGGAGCCAGGGAAGAGGAACGGGAAGAGCTGGACCAGCTGCAATTCAAGCCCTGAATGATCATCACACACCACCCTTGGGATGGAGGGGCAATCAAAGGAGCCCTTGCCAGGAGGGTTTATAAGGAGGATCTCCCCAGTGAGAGTTGGGGGGAAGGGGAGGAGGAAGAAAGGAACAAGGGGGGGAACTCTTACGGTAGGCAGTGGCCGAGTCCCGCTCGCTCTGCTCCCTGCTGATGAACATGGTCAGTGCTGAGTAAGGCACATGAAAGCACTGCAATGGCACAAGGAGAATTGGCTCAGGGAGGGTGTAACAGCCCAGGGGACCTGGGGCAGGGGAGGACCTGCCCCTCCGTGCAGCTCAACATGGGGGAGGCAGGGACTGGTCCCCTCCATCCCTGGTGCGTGCAGAGCCCAACTCACCGTCACGAGGGTCTGGAAGACACAGTAGAAGACAAGATACCACATCACTTGGCCTCTGGAGATGTCTGGCACAAACCAGATGAGAATGTAGGAGATGACAGCGAATGGAGTAGAGAAGATGATCCTTTGGGAGAGCAGAGTGTTAGTCTCATGGGCACACAGGGCCTGGGTAACCCCACTAGCCCAGGTCCCCCTGCTTCCACACATGCAGTGGGGTTCAGGCACCCGATCTGGGGGGCTCCTGAGCTGCCCCAGCATGGCCCACCCGGCTCCAACCCTTGGCCAGGAGGTGGTTGCCCCAGGGGTGATCCAAACCAGGCTGAAGGCAGCAGCTCAGGTGTCACAGGGTGGAAAGGGCTGACTCAGACTTCCAGGGAAGAGCTTTACTTGCAAGAACAGACATACCTCCTTCCATGGAAGTGATTGATCTGTTCTTGCCTTTGGCTTCCACCCTCAGACCCAACCTCTTCCCCAGGCAGCACTGCTGTGTTCAGCAGGATGCAATCACCTCCCTCATCCTGGCAAGAGCTGGGGAGTAGCTGGGGGACAGCCAGGCAGCTCAGCCCTGCTCCCCAGCAGCCAAAAACCTCTCACCAGCTTGGCTTTTCTGCCAGGCCCCCCAGGCCCTGGTCCTGGGGTCACTCTAGTTCTGCTGGCAGCGATGGGGCAAACCACCATCCAGCAGCAGCCTGGCTCCTTCTTCCACCTCTGCCCAACTTCCCAGAGCTGTGGGAGCAGGGTCATGGGATGCAAAACGCAACGGAGGATCAGAGGGGATTGCTCAAGTGCTGGTCCCTGCAGGACCAGCCAGCAAAGGTGATGGGAGCAAGAAGCGATCCAGGGCACCTGCCCCCTTCATCCAGGGGATCTCATAACTCCTGTCCTGGTGCAGGACAGCCAGGGCACAGCTCTGCTCTGCACCAGCACCCCAAGGACACCACAGGCTCCCAGGACCCCACAGCACTCCAGGAAGCACGGGAGGAATTCCTCCTCCTGGAGGGAAGCGAGCCAGGTGTTGAGGTCACTTCCACATCTGTTTAGGAGATGGATTTTTGCTTGGCAATTTGTGAGCATCCTGCGCTCCACAAACTCCAGGAGGCTGCGTCCTGGAGCGAATCCAGCAGAACTGGGCATGGGACTGATCCACACACGGCCAGAGCTGGCCCTGCACCGCCAGGGTACAGTGAGATCTTTCCGTCGGGGCTGACGTACAGGACGCAAAGTTTAAATTTAAAGTCGCGCAGGGAGGCGGGAGGGGGGGGGATAGAACGAGAAACTGGATCTCCATGGATGGAGAGCGACAGAGGCGCTGCACAGGACCCAACACATGCACATTCTTCCGCACCCACGTCACCCTCTCGGGGAAGAGGTGGGGGGAGGAAAGGGGCGAGCCTGCTCCAGCCCCTCCTCTGCTGCCGCTTATCGCCGAGCACATACGTGGAGCCCGGGGAAATGCTGAATGAATCACCAGAGCAGCGGCGGGAAGAGCGTCACGCTGCCCGTGGGCGCCTGAACGTCAGATGCGCCAGTTCCCCGTGGGTCACCCCAGCCCCGACACCGGGATGCTCAGCCCCGGCCAGGGCTGACCGGCAGCTCCGGGCAGACACTGAGGAGTGACTGGGAGTAACCCCTGACCCAGGCCGAGGTGATTAAGGCGCTCGGAGGCGGCTGCCGTGACGCGCTCGCCCGCTCATTGGCCCCGGCGCGATGGTGTGTTCCTTTGTGCCGCGCTCACACCCCTTCCCGGCCCCGCCGTTTTTAACTGTTTGCAAACGGCTGCGGCCCCGGAGAAGGTCAAAGCCAGGGGTTCCTCCGTCACCGGCACAGCGAGGAAAAGTTTAGTCACCGGGAAGTCTGGGGTGGTCAAGGAAAAGGGGATCCCAGCTCTTAGCTGGAAGTCCCAGCTCAGAGCAGAATCCACGAGGCTGGGGGAAAAGAGGAAGCAGCCGCTGGATGAGCTGCTGGGAAAAAACGTGACAAAAAGTGTTTCGAAAGGAAAGAATTGAAAGGGAGAGAAGTGATGGCCCTCAGAGAAGGTCTCCTCGCCCTTCTAAGGAGCTGGAGCAGCCGTGAGCTTTGAGCTGGAGGCAGCAGGAACCACAGATCAGCCCCCTCAGAACCTGGCAATAAACCCTCATGCACGGGGGGAGGTTACACAGAGTCATCTCATGGGTGCTGAGGATTGGGGTCCGGCAGCAGCCTCCGAGACCACCCCAGTGCCTGCAACTCCTGGCTTTGCACGCAGGGAAACTGAGGCAGCACCGGCAGCTCTGCAGCCACAGCAGCAACACCAGCCTGGGGCTGTGCAGCCCCAGACCGCCAGCAAACCCTGGGTTTAAGAGGTTTAAAATCAGCTCAGCTCCATCCAAACTGGACTCAGCGGGCAGCCCTTGAGCCATGTACAATAGCAGCAAGCTCTGGCTGCCCCGGCACTGCTGAGGGGCCCAGAGTGAGCCGAAAGCTCTGGCTAATTTTAACGAAGCAGGAGCCGCTTGGAGGAATGCAGCCGCTCCATCCCCACCCCCTGCCTCGAGATTAGGGCGAGCAGAGCCACGAGCAGAGCCACGACAGCCATCCCTGGCTGTCCCACACAGCCCAGCCAGCCCCGTGCTAATCTCCAGACCCCAGACCCGGCCGCGCGCGCGGCTGCGGGGCAGCTATTTCAGGCCATGCGTGGAGCCTGGCTCCAACAACTGCCTGCTGCTGCCCAGAGCTATTCCAGGAAAGCCAGGAAGCAGAGGGTATAATCTGCGGGGGAAAGGACTGCGTCCCTCCAATTCCACTCCCCCCATGCCCACCCTCTTCGCTGCATTGTATTTCAGCAATCCCACAGGCGCCCGGGGTTATTTTAGCACAGGACATGCCACCATGGCCACACCGAGGCATTAGTGCCCTGAAATGCTCCTGCACAGGGACAGGTGCTCATGGATGTCCTAAATCTGCCCCGGGTGCAGGCACGAGCCATTTGGGGGGTTCACAAACCCCATGCCATCTGCTCCAAACTCCCCGCTCCCGAGGGCGGGCGGGAGCATCCACGTGCGGTCACCCAGCTCCCTGACAGCTGTTTTCCTGCCCCAGGAGTGCCCTCGTGACTGTCAGCCGGCACCCACCACCACGCACCTCCGCACACACCCCCGTCCCTCCTCCCTGTGGGTGTGATGCCATCTGCTCTGCTGGCACCTTGGCCCTGCCACCAGCCAGGTCTCTGCAACCACCGCTGAACAAAGTCCAGCAGGGACGTTGGAGCTCACAGGTGCAGTGACACGGAGGTCAGCCAGGTCAGGCTGACCAGCCAGAGCAACAGGCACAAACTTGAGGCCTCCCACCTGTTGGTGGCACCTTGGGCTTTTTTGGGGCACTTGGCACATCACCTGGGTGAGCCAGGGCGTCAGCACGTCCTGCCCTGCACACCTCATGCCAGGGGATACTCAAAGCTGACACTCAAAGTGCTGTGACACATCAGGCAGGGAATGCAGGGTGCTACCAGCAGCTCTTACCAGGGCATCAGGCGGCCGAAGCAGGTCCATGAGGATTTGCTGATGAAGAAACCCACCATGGGGTCTGTGATGGCATCCCAGGCTCGTCCCACAAACAGGATGATGGAGGCATAGAAAGCATCCAGCTGCAGGAGGAAGATCTTGTGTCAGCACATGCAAACCCCCAGTTCCCCCAGCTGCCCTTCCTGAGCCCCTCAGGACCCTCCCAACCCTACCTACAGCAACCCCACTGCCATTTGGGAGCAGGGGACGAGTCTCTTGGTCTCTCCCGCTCGTTCAGGGGGATTTGAGGTGCCCAGTCCCTCCGAGCGCTGCCCCACCACACTCTTTCCACACCAAACTCCCACATCTCGGAGCTGAGTTCCCCAAACCCACCCCGCAGCCAGCACGAGGGAGCCCACGGGCGCTTCTCCCGTGGCTTTCTTCCCTTCGTTGTTTCACACCGATCCGGCACGCTGCGGGCCCGTGGGACGCGTCCTGCCCCCCGCCAAAAAACAGCCACCACCAGCCCGTTTTATCGCGCGGGGAACCCAAGCACGGAGCGGGGAACAGCAACACGCGTGGGAGCGGCCCGCGGGAAACCCGCAGCCCCCGGAGAGGACTCCCGCCCCCGCGGGGCGATTCCGGCGGGGGCGGGGGCATTTCCAAGCCCCGGGTACGTCCATCCGACGGGCAAAGCGGCACGGGGAGCTCCGAGACCCCCGGCCCCGGCCCACCCCGGTCCCAGCCATACCTGCGCCACGTCCAGGAGGTAGATCTGGAGGAAGAAGCCGAGGGCGCAGCCCGTGATCTGGTAAGGAGCCCCCCCGACGGCGTAGCACAACTTGCTGCACACCGACAGCCGCTCGCGGCTCTCCTGCAACCGGGACCTGGCGTCAGCCACACCGGGAAGCGCCCCCCGGCCCGACATGTCCCGTCCCGTCCCGTCCCATCCATCCCACCCCCGCCGAGGCGGTCCCGGCGCTCACCTTGCGGCGGTGCTGGCGGCAGAGGGGGGGCAGGAGCCCCCCTGCCCCGGCCCGCTCCGAGCCGCCGCCCCCGGCCATGCCGTGCGCGATGAATGGGGCCGCGCCGCCGCCGCCCGCCCTTGTACCGGCAGGGCCCGCCCCCGTCCGCCTCCCGCGAGCGGCTGCCTCCTCCTCCTCCTCCTCCTTCTCCTCCTCCTTCTCCTCCTGCCCCGGCCCTTCCTCCCTTCCCCACCCCCCCGTCCGCCCACCCGTCTGTCCCCGTCTTTCCTCTGCGTCTCTGCTGTCTCACATCCCCTCATCCCTCCATTCTCACATTCTTTCATCCCTCAGCTCCCCCCCTCCGCTCCATCCCTTCCTTCCAATCCCAGCTCTTCATCGCTTATAATCAAAGAATGGTTTGGGTTGGAAGGGACCTTAAAGACCATCTCGTCCCATTGTGCCGGGGGCAGGGACACTCTCCACTAGCCCGGGTTGCTCCAAGCCCTGTCCAGCCTGGCCTTGGACACTTCCAGGGATGGAGTATCCACCACCTCTCTGGGCAACCTGTGCCAGTGTCTCACCACCCTCATCCTAAAAAGCTTTATAATTTCTATATCTAACATAAATAATTTAGTTTATAACCATCACCCCTATCACAACAGGTCCTACTAGAAAGGGTGCAGTGCTGCAGTGACCCCAGCACTGGATGGTGACGTGGACATAGATCCCAGCACCTCTCAGCTGTGCCAGGTGCTGTTTGCCAACCAATGAGCACACACAGACCAGTGCCAGTGTTGTGTCACTGCAGTGACAGCCACCAACTCTGCTTGGCTCAGGCCACTGATCAAAGATCACCCCAAGACGGGACTGCAGAGCAGGGTTGAGCCAAGGGGGCCAGCGTGGCACCAGTGCCATCACCTGACTGCCACGTGGGACTGGGCATGGGGACAGGGATGGGCAGGGAGGACGAGCCGCTGGCACCCAGCAGGGACCTGGGATGCAGCAGAGCCTGAGTGGATGCTGGGGATGAGCAGGGTGGGCAGCCCCTGGCATGGAGCAGTGAGTGGCACAGCAGCTCCGTACACTCCCTGGTTTCAGAACTGAGCTGGTGTCACTGCTGACTCACAGTTTCCGGCCCCTCACACACGTGCAGTGGGTTCTCCCAGTGCTGCTGTGCGTCACAGCCCCGTGTCCGGCCACACTGGGAGCTCGGAGCTGCTCCCCACTGGGGACAGGGACCTGGGTGAGGCTTCAGAGTGTCCAAATTTGTTCAGTGACACAAAATACCTCGAAACAAATACCTCGCAAAATACCTCGCAAAATACCTCACAAAATACCTCGAAATACCTCGAAACACCTCGAAACAAATACCTTGCAAAATACCTCGAAACAAAATCGCAAAATACCTCGAAACAAAAGGTGAGTGAGGTGTGAACAATGCCACTCACCCAGTCAGTGTGAGAGAGACCTGCCCCTGGCTCCTCGTCCTGCTGTGCTGTGCTGACTCAGGGTGCTGGTGTGGAGCAGAGGGCCCTGATCACCTTCTTACTGGCAATGACCATGTCCCTGGGCAGCACTGGTGCAGCCACTGGGGACACAGAACCATAGACTGGGTTGGGTTGGAAGGGACCTTAAAGACCATCTCGTTCCAATCCCCTGCCCCGGCAGGGACACCTCCAGTGTGACACTTCCAGGGACATCCATGTAGGTTTGTGTCCCTGCCTGAGAAAGTCCTGCACCACCCTGAAAACACAGATTTGGATCCCCCCAAAGCTCTCTGGTTCCCAAAGACAGGTAACCAGGGGAGGTGTGTTTGAGTCTGCTCCGTGCCTCAGTTTCCCTTTCCACAGAAAAAACCTCTTTTGAAGGAACAGAGGGGACACTTGATTGACACTTGATCTGTAGGGACCAGACTCCCCTCTGTGTGTGACCCCAGCACTATTACTCTGCTCCCTTTGTCCCAGAGGCTCTTCAGCTCCTGAGAATGCTTTTGACATTCCTGTCCTTGAGTAAAGCACTCAAAAACCACCTCCTGGGCAAACTCGGCTTTAGGGGAACAAAGAGATGGCCTTTGAGAAGGAGATTGTGCAGAAAGATCACAGGTGAGCTCAGCCTTACATATGAAGAGGAGAAGTAGACAGACCGGGATTTCTTAGGATTAGGAGGATTTTCTCCCCCAAATCTGGTATTGCACAATTTCCTCTGGGGGATTTGAGATCTTCCTCCCAAGCAGATGCTCTGGGGGATCCTCACAGCAGTAAAGGGACTGCCAAGGGCTGATCCCTGTGGGGGTGTCAGTGCAGCAGCTCCCACCAGGTTTGGGGTCTCCAAGGTACAGGTGGTTGGGGCTGGGCCACTCCCAAGGTCACCTTTGTCAGTGTGATGGTCTGACAGGCACAACCTGAGCTAAAATACCCTTTGATGTGACAATGTGCCACATCCCTCAGATGGGGACACCACTGGGGACTCTTCGTGGGCTGAGCCCCAAATACTGGCCTTGGGGACGGGAACAGGGATGGGGACTGCTGCTCCAGTGCATGATGCCATCCCCTGCCACCCACACCTCCTGCTGTCATGCATCCGGCACAGCCTGGAGCAGGATCTGAGCAAGTGTGAGAGCACCTGAAACCAGACAGCCCTGCCAGGCTGGGCCAGCCAGGACGGGGAGGATGGGCTTGGGGGCAAATGGCAGTGAGGTGGTCATGGAGCTGCCGGGGTGACACAGTGTGTGCCTCAGTGTGGCTCCCCAGCACCCAGAGAGCACTGCCCCAATGTCACAGAGCTTCTCCAGGGCTCAGGGCACCTCCTGGCACCAGGCAGGGTGTGACGGGGGCAAAATGGGACTGGAGGGGGGAGGAGGCAGCAAGACTGGAGCCAGTGGTGCAATTTCCTCTCCCTTCTCTGTCCCTCTCTGCTAAACTCAGAGTGGGTGGCTGCATGCCCAGAGAGCTGGGCCTGGCATGACCCTGGGGCTGTGGGCATTGTCCCCCACCCGGGCTGGGAAGAATTTCATGGTGCTCCCAAACCCCAAAGGGGCTTGGGTTGGCATTTCACAAGCGCCCAGCCAGCCCCCGTGGCTGCTGCCCAGCAGCTTCACAGGGACAAAGGGGACACATTGCATGGCAGCACGTGGCAGCTGCCCTGTGCTGCCCACCCCTCTCCTGCGTGGGACCCTGGGGAGCATGTCACAAGGCTGAGCAGGATGAGACAGGGCCAGGATGTGCTGGCACGTGGCTCACAGCCTCTGCTGTCCCTGGGGATCTGGGACCCCCATGGGGACAGCAGGGTGGCTCAAAGGCTGCTTCTGCAGCAGGATGGGGAGAGCCAGAGGCAGAGCCCAGCTCAGGATGCCCCTGGGCCAGGATCAGGGTGACTGCCCACCGTGGGGAAGCACTTTGGGGTCTCAAAGTCCAGTCCTGCTGTCAGTGGGGATCCAAAGGGCACGGGGGCCCCCAGGGAACTGCCTTTCATCATGTGCTGGAGCCGCGCCAGCCACGGCAGCTCCCATGGGGCTGTGCCAGCGCCGGGGACACGTGCTCGGTGCTGGCTGTGGAGCTGTGCCAGTGCCCTGTGACGGTGGGGCACGGCGAGAGTTATCCTGTCCCGTGGGCGGCCCCTCCATCCCTGTCACCTGCGGTGCTGCTGCAGCCCCCGAGGCTCTCACCCACCCACCCACCCACCCTGTTTGCGCAGCCGGCGCCGCAGCGAGAGGCTCTCGGCTCCTGTTTGCCCAGTGCCTGGAGAGGCCGGGATGAAAGGGCTGCGTGGCCCCTCCAGCCCTCTCCAGCGGTGCTTCCGCACCTTCAAAGCATCCGGAGCCCCTTGAAGCCGGGACAAGCACCTGCCTCACCCTGGGAAAAGCCGGAGACATCCCGGAGGCCAGCAGGGAGGGGGAAGGAGACGTGGCTGAGAGCTATAGGCTGTAGGAGGCTTTGCTTCTGTGCCCGAGGATATGTCGGTGTTGGATGGAACGGGCGGTTTGGGGCAGTGCCAGCCTGTCCCCAGCCATGACCGCTTGTCCCTGCAGGTGCTGGGACAGGACAAGCCTCTGTGGCAGCTCAGTCTCTGCCCTCAGTGCAGGGTGATTTGTTTCCTACTGAGGAAGAGGGGGCATCACCAACGACGCCTTCCCGGGGAGGGGAAAGGACTGGGAGCAGCCCTAGAGTGGGAGGATTCTGGCCTGGGATAGGGCTGGGAACTGGGGCCAACGCTGAGACAGGAGCAGAGAGGGAGCATCAGCCCGGGCTCCAAGGGGGATACCTGGATCCCGCAGCTCCTGTCCCAACCCCACAGGCATGCGGGCAGGATTGGGGTGCTCAGGGCTGCTCTGGAAGGGCCAGGAGGGCATGCAGGGTGCTGCGGCCATCACGGGGACCTCACGGCAGCGTCGCGGCTGGGAAACCACAGCCCCGGGCGAGCACCAGCACCCTCCCAGATGCGGGAGCTGGCAAAGCTTCGCAAGCTCCGCTGCGCCTCGAGCCAGCAAGGGAAGGGCTGGAGCTGCCCTCGGGCACACCGGGGCACGTCGGGCTCCCCCGGGGCACCCCACCCGCGTGGGGACCCCGGGCCAGCCGCCAGCCCAGCGCCCGCTCCCGGTGCTGCTCCTCCGCCTCCCCCCGCGCCCGCCTCGGCAACGGGGAAACTGAGGCACGGAGCAGCGCCGGCCCCCCGCGCTGCCCTCCACGCGGGTCGGGTGCCCGTGGGGTGTCCCCGCCGCGTCCCCGTCCCCGCCGCCCCACGGACGGTGGTTCGCGGGCCCAGCAGGTGGCGCCCCGCGCCCGCCGGTGGCGGCGAACGGAGCCCGGGACCGGGAAGGACCGGGAGGGACCGGGAGGGACCGAAGGGGACGGGGGGAAAACGGGGGGAGCTGTGATGGACCGCGCTGGGCAGCGCTGGTTCGTGCGGGGCTGGGCTGGGCTTGTCTGTGCTGAACCATGCCGGGCTACACTGCTCTGGGCTGTACTGGGCTGTACTGGGCAGTGCTGGTCTATGCTGGGCTACACTGGGCTGACTGCACTGGGCTGTACTGGGCTGTGCTGGTGCAGGAAGGACCATAGAGGGCTGTGCAGTGCTAGGCAGCACTCGGCTGTGCTGGGCTATACTGGTGGCTGGACTGGAACAATTTCCTCCCAGCATGGCCGATGCTGCATCCCAGGGACCAGTGCCCAGCATCCCCCTCCCTCCCAGCTCCCACTGCCACCGGCTGGGGCAGATCCTCTGTCCCCATCCACGCTGGGTGGCAAAAGGAGGGTACTGGGGCTGAAGTGGGTTCACACAGGCTGTGGGGGCAATCTGCTCGTTCCAGGTGGACTTTGTACCAGCATGTGTGTGTGTGTGTATAATGATGTCCCAGCTGTTAGTCCACGAGGTGAAAGTCTCTCCGTGTCCTCATAACATTAATTGCTCTTCCTAGAAGGACCCTGGCAGTGGAGAGATGCAGCATCCTGCTGGGCTTGCTCGGATCCCACCATCTTATATTGGATGTTGGGGAGAAATTCCTCCCTGGGAGGGTGGTGAGGCCTGACACAGGTTGCCCAGAGAAGCTGTGGCTGCCCCATCCCTGGACGTGTCCAAGGCCAGGTTGGACGGGACTTGGAGCCACCTGGGCTAGTGGAAGATGTCCCTGCCTACGGCAGGGGGTGGAACGAGATGAGCTTTAAGGTCCCTCCCAACCCAAACCACTCTGTGGTTCCATAATTCCATGGTGCTCCAGTTTGTTTTCCACCATGCTCAGCCGAATGTCCCCAGGCTGGTGGCATCGCTGCGTGCCTCTCCTTGCAGAGGGGGGGACCCCCAAACCCTGGCAGGACAGCGAGGGGCCCCCAGCGCAGCGCAGGGGGTGGCCGCTGGTTCAGAGCCCCGTTACCGGGGGCTCCGGGGGGGCCGCGGGATCGCTCCCACCGTGCCCTCCCGGGGGGGCGGGGAACAGGGCAGGGCCCCTCCCTCTATGAAATGCAGGCCCGGCGATTGGCGGGGGCGGGGCCGGGCTCCGCGGCCGGGCTATAAGAGCGGGGGGAACAATGCGCCCGCGGTCCCGGCTCGGGGGCTGGCGCCGGGGTGGGGGTTCCCCCTCATCCCTGGGGCTGCCCCTTTCCTGATCGGGGCTGCCCCCCCGTTTTTCTCTCTGTCTCCCCCTTCCCCATGCCGAGATGGAGTTTGACTCGTACCAGCATTACTTCTACGACCACGATGCCCAGGAGGATTTTCACCGCTCCACGGCTCCCAGCGAGGACATCTGGAAGAAGTTCGAGCTGGTCCCCACGCCCCCTCTGTCCCCGCTGGGTACCCCCGGGGAGAAGGGGTGCTGCTCGGGGGCGGAGGAGCGCTCGGGATGGCTCTCCCGGTACTGCCTCGCCGGGGAAGAGCCGGAGTATCTCATAGGGACCGGACAGATCTTCGGGAACCTGAGCGCTTTCATCCTCAAGGATTGCATGTGGAGCGGATTTTCAGCCCGGGAGAGACTGGAGAAGGCGATGACAGAGAAACTTTCCACGGGCACGCAGAGAGCCACCCCACTCAAACCCTCCTTCGCGCAGGATTTTGGGTTCAGCAGCTCCGTGAGCGAGTGCGTGGATCCCGCTGCCGTCTTCCTTTGCCCGCTGGCCGAGAGCAAGATCCCCGCATCCTCGGGATCCGAGGGCCAAAGCGACTCCGGTAAGGGATGGAGCTGCTCCGCCGCCGGGGTGCGGGCTGCCCCGGCCCAGCCACCCTCCAGCCTTGCTGGAGGACACGCGTGTCCACACATGTGCGTGCCGGGAGCCTCCCAGCCGGGCTGCGCCTTTGTTGAGGCTCCAAGCGAGCCCCGGTCCCGGCCCCACGAACAAAGCGGGCTCGGCTTCTCTCCTTCCCGCGGGGCTTCTGCTCGGGAAACCCTGCCCCTCTCGGGACGGTGCGTGAGGCTCTGGTGGCCCGTCTCCCTCGTCCCGGGAGCCTCGTGGGCAGGTTGAAGGGCAAGTTTGCAGCTCGCCGTGGGAAGTTTTGGTTTTTCGAGCGTCGCAGCGTGCGCTGCTGCCGGCTCGTAACTTCGGCTGATTCTTGCTACGCTCCCACGGCCCACCCGGGACGGGCTTCCTTCGGGACAAAAGGCAAATTATCCCCTGGGGGCAGCAGGTTTGGGAGCAGCGGCGTGTCCCCCGAGGCGGTGGCTCCGTGGGACGGGCAGGAACAGCCGCATCAGCTTCCCAGCCCAGCCCCGGGGCACGTCTGCCTGTCCCGCGTGGGGGTGTTCACACGGGGGCTCGGCCTGGGAAGCGGATGCCTCCGAAACCCACCAGCCAAGGGCGACGTGGCTCCACCCTCCCCCCGCATCTCCCCCGTCTCGCACCAATTTTCAATCCTTATTTACAAACATCCCCCGGGGCTCTCCAACCCCCCCATCCCCAGTCCCGCAGCCCCGGCGGGGGCCGTGCGCTGTTTCCCTCGCTCCCACGGCAGCCGGGCTGACTCGGCTGCCGCGGCGCCGTGACCCCGTTAATAAATCTGCCGGTGGCCGCCACCTGCGCCGGTGAGTCACGGCGCGGGAAGGGCTTTTAATGCCATTAAGGAGCCCGGGCACTGTAAGCAGGTCGCGGGCGTTAAGAGGCTTAACCCAAATATGTGGGGCCGAGCGGGGGCCCGCGGGGGTCCCGGCGGGGTCCCGGTGCCGCGGGGGTCCCGGTGGGGTCCGGCCGCGCCACGTGGGCGCCGAACAAAAAGCAACAGATTGCAAACAATGAGAGCGGGCGCGGTGATGGACAGGAGCAGCGGCCAATGGGGTGACGGGACGGCCGGTCTGCCCCGCCGGGCAGCCAATGGGCGGCTCCGAGGGGCGGGGCCCCGCGGCCCGACTTTTATTAATGAGCGGGGGGGGCTCCGTGTGTGTCCACGTGGCTGAGAACGGGCGGGTTGTGACACCGATGAGCGCGGCCCTTGGCCTGTGTGGGGCAGCGAGTGGCCCCCCCACCCCAGTGTCTCCAGTAGCAGGGTGGTTTGGGCTTGCTGGGCAGAGCCCCTGAAGCCTGGAGGGGCTGCGGTGTGGGCTGGGGGCCACGAGCAGGAATGTGTCCTGGAGGACCAGGCCTCTGCCCACAATGCTAGTGGGGATTGGGGTGTTTCAGGGGACCTTTAGTGAGTGGCTGTATTTTTCCCTGAAGCTTAGGAAAAAAGTTGGAGGTGCATCTCTAAAGCGAGAGTGGTCACAAGTGTGTCTGCAGCCTGGTCATCTCACTGTCCCCAGGGCCAGCTTCCTGCCACTGGGCTTTGCTGACACAGGACAAGCTGCACTGACAACAGGCAGGGTGCTTTGGGGTCAGTTATGCTTTATTTAGGTCTTTCTGTTCCCGGGCTTGGGATGCCTTCGAGGTTCAGGGTCTGTTGGAGGGACCCTTTCACCTCTCCCTCCCCCCCTGCACAGTGGGGGATTGTCCCCTCTGTCCCCGGGAAGCCGGGGTTGAATGGGCTTTATCACTTGTGAAAAGTAACAAGTCACCGAGGTGGGAAGCTGCAGCCGAGGGGAACAAAGGGCAGCTCTGCCCCCACATCCCTCATTTACAATTCCAATGGGCCGTGAAAGCACCCGACCGGGATGAACTTTGGAACTAGGCTGTCCCAGCATCCTACTCCTCCAGTCCCTCCCAAGCAGGAGGGCTCAAGTGTTTCTTGCCTGATGATCCTTTACATGAACACATGTTGCTCCTGGTGCTGAAGTGAGGCAGAAATAAAGCCACGTCCCATTTTGGGGGACCAGGCACATGAATGTGGAAGGAATTCTGCTCCTCTCCACACAATTGTATTGGAAGAGCACTTAAATCACATAGTCCCTTCAGGAGGTTGCAGGGTGGCTTTGCAGTGCATGAGCGAACTTCAGTGGGACAGCAGCAGGGAGATTGTCCAGGGGGGCTCTGGGGACTCCCACAAAGGGGTGACTGGTGGTTCCCAGCTGATGGGGATTTGTTCTTTCTTTGCCATGTCTGTTTTGAGCAGAAGGAGAGGAGATCGATGTGGTGACGGTGGACAAGAGACAATCGCTCAGCCTGAGGAAGCCGGTGACCATCACCCTGCGCGCAGACCCCCTGGACCCCTGCATGAAACGTTTCCACATCTCCGTCCACCAGCAGCAGCACAACTACGCCGCCCGCTCGCCACCAGACTCCTGTCCCCCGCTGGAGTCACCCCAGCAGGGCCAGGACCGAGACGAGGACGAGCCACCAAGTGCCGCAGAGCCAGTCCCTGCCATCACACCTCCTGAGCCCGGCTTGCCAAAGCTCAGCAGCAGCCCCGGCTCCGACAGCGAGGACGTGGCCAAGAGGAAAAACCACAACTACCTGGAGCGCAAGCGGCGCAACGACCTGCGCTCGAGGTTCCTGGCCCTGCGGGACCAGGTGCCCGGGCTCGCCAGCTGCCCCAAGACGCCCAAGGTGGTGATCCTGAGCAAATCCTCCGAGTACCTGCAGTCGCTCATCAGTGCCGAGAGGCGGATGGCAGCCGAGAAGCGGCAGCTGCAGCAGCGCCAGACCCAGCTGCTCAAACGGATTGCTCACCTCAAGGGGCACTAGCACCCAGGGTACCCCCCGCCCCGGTCCCCACAACCCCCCTGGCTCCCTCTCAATTTGCACATTTTTTTTTTTTTTTCATTTTTTGGTTGTTTGTTGAACTGTTGGCCCCGGGGGGCTGGAGCACGTGGCGGTTGCTGCATGTGGGGTGGCCGTGGTGCTGCTCCTGGATGAGGGAATGGGGCCACGGTGGAGCCCCCCCCCCCCCTCCTTCCCAAATCTTCGTTCGCGAAGCCTAGCCATGGCATGGAGACCCCCCCCATGGCATCACCTGCCTGGGGCTGGTTTCTTGGCACCAAGTGTTGCAAGATTTCCCCTGTCCCTGCTGTGAAGCTTTGTCAAGTGATTACTTCAATTCAAGAGCTCAACTCTACTCCCCCTCCCCAGCAGCCCCTGCACCCCTCTCTGCTGTTTTCCACCAACAGCATCACTGGGAGCTGCCCCTGGGCATCCATCTCGCCCTAAAAATCCCAAGCAACCACGGTCTGCCTTGGCTCATGGAAGCAGGCAGACACAGAGCCCAGCACGGGCCTCGTCTCTGGACGGATCCCATGGAGATGGTGAGGGCAGGATGTGTCTCTCACCAGGGTGAGCAGCACCCTGTGGGTGATCCCCTTGCTCGGCTGGACCGTACCTCACTTCCTTCTCACTTCACGCAGTAGCTCGTCTTGGATTTTATGTTCTAGAAACTGCTGCTGTAACTGCGAGTCTTATACTGGAGGCTGTGTTTTTATACTGTATTTTTGTACCACTTTTTGAGAAGTATTGGTAAAGAGTTTGCTTTTTTTATATATATATAAAAACTTTTTTTTTAAGGGGGGGGTTTCCTGCTGCAGGGGAGGGCTCAGTCCTGCTGCACTTTAGGGAGATCAGGAAGGGGCTGGCTCCTGCTGGACCCTCGAGCTGAGTCCTCACAGAGGCCATTTACCCCCTTGCAGCTCTCCAAACCACCCATTTGCAATAACAGGGGATTTTATCCCTTTCCTCTCCTTGTGAGTATCCTTGTGACCCCTTTTCCCACCCTTGTGAGTACCCTCTCACCAGCAGCCACTTAAAATCCTCAGCGAAGCTTTGGGCTTTGCAGGGGGCAGGTTGTGCATGTGTGTGGGGCTGCTCTGCCTTCGAGGCTTCCCCCTGCCTGTGCCCTCCTGCTGCCCAACCTGTGGTGGGGTACGTGGGTGGCAGAGTCCCCTGTCCCCTCCCAGGGGTGGTCCTGCAGGACAGCACCCTCGGGCCCCCACTGACCTGCTGAGAACTGTTAGAGTTAACACTGTGGTCGGATTTAGCACTTTCTTCATTACCTCACACTTCATAAATAAATAAGTTTGCAACAGCCTGGGTTGGCTTTTTCCATGCAGTTGGCTGTGGGTTTCCATGCATCACATGAGGCTCCTTGGGGGGGCTGACCTGGCCCTTGTGTTTTGGGGTATCCTGGACATGAATGGGAGTTAATATATTTTGCACCAGGGCTCGACTGTGCCAAGACTGAGCTCTTTGTCCTGGTTTTCTCCCAGCAATTGAAGAAGTGTTCATGGTGGTGGGGCCAGGGAAATGAATCACCTGGATTATTTTTCCTCTTTTTAAGTGGTTTTATTGGCAAGGAGGGGCAGAGAGAGCCCACACTGGGCTCAGAGGAGGCTTTGGTGTAACTATAAACCCCCCTAATGGGGCCTGGGGCAGGCAGTGTGGGGTGATCACTGCCCCACAGGTCAGGGGCTGTGGCTGGCAGTAACCCTATAGGGAGGGGGGAATGCAATCCCCTCGCTTCCAGGGGCATTGGAGAACTCCCTATCCCAGATCTGCCAAGTGGATGAAATTATATATATGTGTGTTCTCCGTGCTGCCCCCAAACTCAATGCATTTGGGTTTCCTTTGTCCTGGCAGCAAAAGTCTTACTCTAAATGCAGGAGGGACATGGGATCCTGTTACTGCTGAGGAGTCAGGAGAGAGGAGCTGCTGCTGGAGACTTGATCACCCAGGGGAAACCAGCCTTAAACAGCAACGGTTCCACCCAGAAGCCCTTAAACACCCACCCTTTGGTTCCAGCAACATTTCGCGCTCTGTGTGTTGCATCACACCGTGTCACAGCCGTTCAGAGCTGCATTAAAAGGTGCTCTCGTGACCCACAGCTTAACCAGGGAGCAGGGTGACCTAAATCTGACACCTCGCCCATGCGCAGGAAACAAAGCCCAGATGTACCAGCCCCTCAAACGGTTATTTTTGTTGTGTGTACACTCACACTTGCAGCCTGGCGTCTTTTTTCAGCTCAAGGTGACCCTCCCGAGAAGCTTTTTAGTAAGTTGGGCTTTTTGATTTCGTGCTGAAGGCACATCAGAGGTTTGAAACATTAATTATCTTTGTTGGAAGTGATGAGCAAATCCACGGTCTGAGCTGAGACTGTTACCAGTGGGAAATGTAGTTGGTCAGGGGTGAAATAAGGAACAGCTCCAGTTTTGCATGTACCTTTGAGTTCTCCTGCTTAAAGCTGCATACACAAGTACACATCTACCTGAAACTTCCCTGGTTACTGGTGCATGTGTCTCCTCTCGTATCACCAGTCAGGATGAGGAAAGGAGACTGACGGTGTTGTGAAGTGAACAAAATAAACACACAGGGCTTTCCCCCTTGCTTGTTCAGCACTGCAGTTTGTGAGTGTCAGCTGTAATCACCACAGTTCGGCGTTTCCGGGCCTGAATTAGTTATTTTTTATCACACACTGCCCTGCTCACACCCCGCTCCTTGCTGTACCCCCCAAACCACCTCTGCTCGCCCATCACATCAGCACCGGCCCGGGGGTGTCGTGGGCACGATGCCGCCTTCACGCCTGGGCTGGCAAATTTTTAGGACAGTTTCCCGAGGCGCCGATAATCCCTTCCCTGCCGAGGGGGGCCGGCTGCCCGCACCCCCCCTCCCTCCCCGGCCCGCAGCCTCCCTCTCGCTGTTGCCATGGCGAGGGATGTGTGTTGCCGGGGAAAGCGGCACCAAGGAGGTGCCATGGCAACCACCTCCCCATTTCCCTGCCCTCTGTTGCCACGGAGACAGCCGCCCGCTCCCCATCCCCTCCAGTTGCTGTGGCGATGGGGAGGACGAGCCTCCGCGGAGCCTGCAGTTGCCATGGCAATGTGCTCTTCTCCCTCGCCATGGCAACAGCCCCGCATCATCCTACTCTGCCCCGTTGCTATGGCAACAGCCCCCGCTCCTCATCCTCCCGCACCGTTGCCGCGGCAACAGCATCCCTTCCACCCCGTTATACTCCCTGTAAAAAAAAGGGACCGCGGGGCTGAGCCCCACGCGTGGACACGGGTGTGAGGGGCCCAGAGGGATTTTGGGGGGGGGAAGAGGGGAGCAAAGGCCCCCAAAAGGAGGCAGGGGCGTGGGGATGGGTTTGGCGACCCGGAATGCGGGAAGGGGAACCGGGCTGGCTCTGGGGACCCGGGACTCGGGGAGGGACCCAGGGGTACGGGGAGAGACCGGGGGACACGAGGAAGGACCGGGCTGGGTCTGAGGACCCGGGGCGAGACCGGGGGACACGGGGAAGGACCGGGCTGGCACTGGGGAGCCGGGACACGTGGAGGGCCCCGGGGTCGGGGGGGGGGCTCGGGAGACGTGGAGGGCCCCGGGGGCACCGGGAGGGACCGCGCTGGGCTCCGGAACGCCGGCGGGCAGGGGAACACGGTGCTCGGGGCCCGGCCCGGACCCTCCCCGCGGGCGGCCCCGGCCCCGGCCCGCCCCCGTCCCGCCCGCCCGTCACCGGCCGGGCCATGGCGGCGGCGGCCGCGCTGTGCCTGGGCCGGGCCCCGCGGCCGCCGCGGCCGCTCGTGGTGATCCTGGGAGCCACCGGCACCGGGAAGTCGGCGCTGGCGCTGCAGCTCGGGCTGCGCCTCGGCGGGGAGATCGTCAGCGCCGACTCCATGCAGGTACGGCCGGGAGCGGGCACCGGGCACCGGGCAGGCCGCGGCCGGGCCCCGGGCCGGGCCCGCGGCGCTGGGAGGCGGCCTGGGCTGCACCGGGGAGGGCCCGGGCGGGGCTCGGAGGGGCGGCAGGGCCCGGGCGGGGCTCGGAGGGGCTCAGCCCCGGGGGGCTGCGGGCTGGTGCCCCCCCGGGAGCCCCCGGGCCCTGTGTCGGGGTCCCTGCCGGGGAGAGCACGGGGAACGGATCCTGCTCGCTGGGAGCGCTCCCGGTGCCCCGTCCCGGTGCCCCTGTCCCAGCCCCAGTGACCCTGTCCCGGTGCCCCTGCCCTGGTGACCCACTCCAGGTCCCGGTGACCCTGTTCTGGTGACCCTGTCCTGGTGACCCTGTCCAGTCCCGGTGCCCCTGTCCGGACATGGTGCCCGTGTCCTGTCCCAGCCCTGGTAGCCTTGTCCCAGTGCTCCTGTCCCAGCCCCAGTGTCCTGGTGTCCCTGTCCTGATGCCCCTCTCCCAGTCCCAGTGTCCCAGTCCCAGTGCCCCTGTCCTGATGTCCCTGTCCCAGCCCTGGTGCCCCTGTTCCGGTGGGTAGTTGTTCAGTGTGAGCAGTGTCACCATCTCCTCTCCTGCAGTCAGGGGACGGTGCCCTGTGGGTTTGTGGGCTCTGAACACGGTGGCAACAACCGAAACTGCAGGGCTGGGAGTATACAGCCCTCCCATCCCAAATAAAGTCCTTTTGAAAGGAAACCAAAACAAAGGAGTGTTAATTTTAGCCCACCCAAAGCTACGTGGAGGTGTAAGGGGTTAACTGAGGGAGGCAGCAGCTGGAGTTACTTAGTAATGAGTGACACCCAGGGTGATATCCTCCTCACTAGCAAAGGGACACCAAGAGATATGGGAAAGGGTATTAAAAATTATATTTGCTACTTGCCAGTGACAAGTGGTGTTGTCTCATTGCAAACAGCAGCATGGAATAAATATATCAGTTGTTTACTTGGGTTCAGTCAACACTGAGGAGCCATACCTCATTTTTTGGTCCTAATGGTGGGTGTTCAGCTGCAGGAGCTTTGTCACAATGTACATTTCGGCCACCACAAGAATAACAATTTTGTTATTGTTTAACAAAATGTTTTCCTAATCCACACTTTCATTGTCTTCTTCCTGTAGTACCTGAACTTTCCACCAAGTTTAATGTTAAATGTATTTATTATGCTTTCTGAAAAGGTGTTTTCTGCCACCACCACCCTTTGTGCTGCTCAGGGACACACGCCTGCTGTGCTGTGCCCACCTCCTGGTTTCCTGCCCCAGCCTGCCACTGCTGCTCACTGTTTGTGTCCTAGAGAGCTAAACTTAAAAACTCCCTCTCCTGATTTTGGAGCAAGCAATCAGAAAGTAATTTCATGGAATGTTTTCCTTAAACTCTTGGGGAAGAAGCGTTTGAAGTCTGAGCTGAAGTGACAAAATCCTGCAGGGGCAAAACATTTGTGCAAAGCGCGCGGAAGCTTTGTCCAGCTTTAATAGCAGGGAAGTGGCTGTTGGCTTGAATGATCCTGTGAACACAAGGCTGCTGCTGCACCCCGAGCTCTGCAGACGTGGTTGGGGCTGCCTGGCACGCTGTGAATTCCCGCCGCACGCTGGTGGATGTTTTGGAGCGTGTATTTTGTGCTCTGGTTGTTTCAGGTCCCACTATGGGAATGCGGGCGCTGGGAGGACTCTGCTGCAGGCGCCCAATGGCATCCGGGCTCCAGTGGCTCTTGTCCTCCTTTCCTTTTAATCTCATTCTAGCGTGACTGTGGAGCCAGAGCCGAGCAGCTCCGCTGTTTTATCCCGTAATGCACCGTGCTGCCGGCGCGGCCCCGAGGGGCGGCGAGGAGGGGGAGCCCGGCAGCCCCAAGGCACGGCCCCGAGGGGCTGCGCCTCCCCCACCACGCTCCACTGACCCCCCGTGCCCCCCCAGCCGGGGCTGCTTTCTTGCTGGCTTTGTTCCCGTGGAATATTGTCTCCCCCCGCGGCGTATCCCTCCCTCTGCCACGCAGAGCTGGCTCTGGTGTCCCTGTGGAAGAGTTGCCGGGTTTTAAAAACCCCATTGCTCATTCTGGACTGACAGCTGCCAGCGACCGTGTCGCCCTCAGCCCCTGCTGTCCATTCATCCCTGGGCTCCGTGGAGCTCTGACAAATGCTGGCAGTGTTTTGGGCAGCTGCTGGAGCTGGAGCCAGGCTCGGGAAGGGGCCAGGGAGCCCCAAGCCCACCTGTTCCACACACAGGCACCACTCCATCTATCTCCAGGGTGTTTTCGTCATGGCTGTGAGTTGCTGTGGTCAAATTACAGACTTAGCTGCTGCCTGCTTGCAGCTCAGGAGCTCTGGTTAATCTGCTGGCCTCTTAATCTTTCTTTTTGTCCTTTCTGTTGCTGTTTGTCATCCCAGTGAGTTTTGTTGATGAGTAAGTAA